GGGGAGAAGCGGGGAGGGAGGATGCGGGGAGGGAGGGAGCTGGATGAGGGATGAGGCTGCACCTGACCCTTCCCTTCCCTGCCCTCCGCGGCGGCGCAGTCTGGACGCCCCGAGGTCCCGGATCGGCGACCCCCCGGTGGACAGAGATCGGCCCGAGCCCGGAGACGAGCTTTCGCACGGAGGCCCCCGGCTGCAGAAGCTGGAAGCGGAATAAAGGCGCGCGCACCTGTTCCTGCGCTCCCGTAAGAATCTGAGAAATAACGGGGGAGGGGAGAACTTTGAGAAGGGGGTGTGGTTGGGACCTGAGACCAGGAGGTTGATGAGACCTTATTTATTCCTACAAATCTGTGACCACTGTGCCCTATTTTGAGAGCCCAATATCAGCTTCCATCCACTATTACACTTAGAAGCAACAGTTGCCCTCCCTCCTCCTGGACGACTGGCGGGAGGGGATGGATGTGGCTGTAAAAAGCAACCTGCTAACAACGGAGACACCGGCTGGCTCCGTGAGCTTGTAATTGCCAGTCTCCTGGAAGATATTTTTAGGGCAGTGGGCAGATATAAACTGTACTGCAGGACATTCAGGAAGGGAGAGAATACCACTGCAGCCAGTTCCTTTATTAACTACTCCCCGTTTTTTTTTTTCTTTTTCTTTTTTACAGTCCCTACTGAGACAGGAGGAAGGCAGAGTCCCCCAGCGCGCCCGCAGATTAGGCATTTCCACAGAGCCTGAGCGTCTTGTTATACTCGGATCCCCCCCCCCCCCCCCCCCTCCCCGTCAGTCATGGCTAGCATCATTGCGCGCATGGGTAATAGCCGGCGGCAGAACGCACCATTGCCGCCCTGGGCCCATTCTATGCTGAGGTCCCTGGGGAGAAGTCTCGGTCCTTTAATGGCCACCATGGCCGAGAGAAACATGAAGGTGTTCTCGGGGAGGGTGGTGCCAGCCCAGGGGGAAGAAACCTTCGAAAACTGGCTGATCCAAGTCAATGGGGCCCTACCCGATTGGAATATGTCTGAGGAGGAAAAGCTCAAGCGCTTGCTCAAAACCCTGCGAGGCCCCGCCAGGGAGGTCATGCTTTTGCTCCAGGCGGCCAACCCCAATCTAAGCGTGGCAGATTTCTTGCGCGCCATGAAATTGGTGTTTGGGGAATCTGAGAGCAGTGTGTCCGCTCACGGTAAATTTTTTAACACCCTGCAGGCGCAGGGGGAGAAAGCCTCCCTTTATGTGATCCGTTTAGAGGTGCAGCTCCAGAACGCTATTCAGGCAGGGATCATAGCTCAGAAAGATGCCAACCAGAGTCGCCTGCACCAGCTCCTTTTAGGGGCCGAGCTGAACGGGGACCTGCGCTTTAGGCTGAAGCATCTTCTTAGGATGTACGCAAATGAGCAGGAGCGACTCCCCAGTTTCCTAGAGTTAATCAAAATGGTAAGGGAGGAAGAGGATTGGGATGACACTTTCATTAAGCAGAAACGGCCCAAAAGATCTGAGTCCGTGGTGGAGAGGGCCACCAGCCCAGTGGCCTTCCAGGGCTCCCCCCCGATAGTGGTGGACGGTGCTGACTGCAACGTCATAGAGATAGACGATGCCCTCGACGACTCCGACGAGGATGTGATCCTGGTGGAGTCTCCGGACCCTCCACTGCACTCTTCGGCGTCTCCTCTCCCCAGACGCAGGCCCAGACCTCGGGACCGAGTGCTAGTCATTGACTCCCCCAGCAGTTCCCGGGCTCAGTCTCCTTCCACCAGTGGGGGTTCAGGGTATAAGAATGATGATTCTGGGAATCTGCGTAGAGCCAGGAAGCGAAAACACGCGATCCGCTGTTCATACTGCGGTGAGGAGGGCCACTCGAAGGAGACCTGTGACAATGAGAGCAACAGGGCCCAGGTGTTTGAGAATCTGATCATCACCCTGCAGGAGCTGACCCATACGGAGGAGGAGGGGCCGAGAGAGGCCCCTGGCAAACAAGATGACCCTTCCGAGCCGCAGTGAGGTGGTAGCCCCCGGCCTTAAGTGAACCCTTAGCCCAAACTCAGAGTCCAGCAATGGGACGACTAGGGAGGGGCGCTTCTAATTGCATGAATCCACCAAGCAGCTTTCTTTGCGGAGCGGAGCAGAAAGGGTCTCGGATACCAGCTCAGTGGAGGGAGACAGCCTGACCTCTGCCCTTGCTTCCCCACTCCCTCTCTGCTGCCTGAGGGTCTGTTTTCTTTGTGTGCCCATTTCTTTGATGGCTTTATTCTCTTTGTGAAAGTGGCATAATTCATCGTTAAACCTCCAAACAATAAAGAAAAGTACAAAAAAGTCAAGTACCAGTTACCCCAAACTCTCCACCCTGATCTAACCATTGTCAACCCTTTGACGACTGTCCTTCTAGATATTTCCCTCTACCTATGTACCCAGATATATGTATAGATAAAAGTGATCAAATATAAGTGCTGTTCGATAGTCTGTATTTTTTCACCAAACAATATATGTCGTGGGCTTCTTTCTATGTCAATAAATATATATCAGCATCTATTTTAATGTCTCTGTGTTACTATTTTAGGAAAAGGTAAAGAAAAAGGAACAAGAGAAATATAGTAAAAAGCTATAAAGGGGTGGGGTTGGACCCCCGGGTGGGGTTCTGATCAGCCTCAATCTGCAGCTGTGGTAAAGGGATGAAGAAATGGGCTGAAATAGTCCCCAGAGGGAGACGGACAGAGCCCCTTGCCACAACTGGCCTGTCCCGCAGGTCATACAGCCAGATTATGGCACCCACTTGTTGACCGCCCCAATGCTTTCTTCTTCTCTACTGTATCCAGAGGAGTCCAGTGGAGGAGCCTGGCGCTGAGGTAACAGCCCCCAAGTGGGGGATTTTCCAGGGACGCCGTTCCTGGTCACTTCGGGGGAGGAGCGCTCTTCCTCCTCCAGATGGATTCCTTGGATTGTTGTTGCTACTGCTGCTTGTGGACATCCCGGTCCCAACGTGGACTCTCTCCTGGGGCCCGACGCCACCGCTCCTCACTCCCCAGTCAAAGGAAGGAGAGAGCATCTCCTCCTGGGAGCCCAGCCCGGGAGGCTCAGCTCCTGATAGAGCCAGAGCCCCCCCCCCCATAAGCCCCGAAGGGATCTGCTGGAGGACACAGGCGCCCCCGAGGACTCCCAAGCCAACCCCTCCCCACCCCAAGAGTTGAGACTAGCTGCCATCGAGTTGCCCGGTGGCACCTGAAGTACTGGTGATCGGAAAGCCGGGAAGCCCCACGCCGCATTTCAGTCGAGTGGAGGGCACTCACGGGGGAGGGAGGGAAAGAAAAGTTGGACCTTCCTGGAACCTGCCCTGTCTCATCTCTGGATCTCATTTTGGAGGGTGATAAAAGAAGACGCGTGTGGCCCCAGCCCCAGAGGGTCCCTGGGTCTTGTGTAGGGGCACATGTCCCTATGTCTGTGAACAGGACACGGCTGGGGGTGGGGGGTGATTGCATTTAGGGCAGGGTGCCAAGAGGGAACCGAATGCCAGAACTGAGGCCCCCCGGGGGCATTTGTCGTGCCTGAAACTGAAATGGGGACTCCACCGAGCTGAGAGGTTACCGTAAACAGCAGTGGCAGCGGGGGGGGGGCATCGGGGAGAAGCCCAGAGCTGTTTGGGTAAGGGGACCCCCCCCGTGAGGAGGGGGAGCGATGACCAGGGAGACACACGGAGATCCACAGCCACACGAAGCCTGGGAGGAGTCGCAGAGCCCAGGGGATCACAAACTCTGGGCTGTGTTGTCCTAGGAATGGCGGAGGTTGAGGGGCTCTGGGAGAGACACTGGGGTTTTAGTTAGGCTAGCAGCTGACGACAGCTCAGTAGGGGTGGAGGGGGTGCAGGCTGAGGTCCCGAGGGAGCAGGAGAAGCCGGGGCGGTCTTCCCTGGGCTGCCATACCCAGAACGCGCCTTGAAGTGCTGCTTTTTCCAGAAGTAGCCCCTCGGCTCCTCCCTGGCTTCTTGCTCCTTTTCCATCAATGACCTCACAATCCGACCCTAAAACCCGCAGTCCGGCCACCTACACTCACCCCTCGGTGGTGATGGTGGTGAGGGTTGGAGGCTCGGCCTCCTGTGCTCTGCCATCTCCCCTCCCCCACCCTCAGCACCCCGAATTTGCCTTAAGCCTCAGCCTTCTCAACCCTCCTGGCCAGAAGGAGACTGCGTGGGCCTCTCTGCCTCAGATCCTTTAGCTGATAACTGGCCAGGACAGGGCCACTCTTTGCATCCCTCTGGGGCACCTCTGGGACCATGAAAGCCACCCTCATTTCTCCCGAGCCAAAGGGGACCCTTCCCCCACCCCCAGGTAAGTGGCAGCTCCACTCAGGCCCCCAAAGCCACGGGGGCCCCCAGTGCTTTACAGCGTATGTAGATTTTCACCCTTAATTCCTTTCTACGTCTCCCTAAATCTCCCCTCGGGAGGTATCTTCCTCCCTCATCTAGTCTAGATTAGAATAGCGGGCCGCTTCCCGATCGTTTTTTTCTCGATTTTACTCTAGAAACGCTTGTTGAATATTTGTCCAAAGACACAGTATAGGCGGCCATAAGTTCTTTGTGGCACCAGGTAGACTAGAAAGATGGAATGAAACACCAGTAAGTTCTGTCCATCTCCTACCCTCCTTTTCACGGGAGTTAGTCTGAGGGTTCAGTATAGACCATTGCTTTGAAAACCTGTCCTGTGATCCATCCCTTTTCCTTCTTTTCCCCTCCCCTCCGCGGTGTCAATTTGAGATTGTCTGAATTTTTATTTCACCAACCTGATGTAACCTGACATTTCTTTTTGCTTGTTTGTTTTACTTTAAAGAAAAAAGCAAAGAAATATGCATTTTCCCCTAATTAGAAGACTTGGAACTGACACCTGAGCATTCTGACCAGATTAATGGAGTTAGTCTAAAAAAAAGACTTCCCTGAAAGCTATAGGCTAATTTGCAGTGACATGGATGGCGCTAGAGAGTGTTATGCTAAGCGAGACAAGTCAGTCAGAGAAAGGCAAACACCCTATGATTTCACTCATACGTGGAATGTAAGAGGCAAAACAGATGAGCAAAGGAGGAAAAGAGAGGGAGAGGCAAAGCAAGAAACAGACTGAACTCCAGAGGACACACTGATAGGGGAACTAGGGGGTGGGGGTGAAGGAGGGCCCTTGTCACGATGAGCGCTGGGTGACGTATGGGAGTGTCGAACCCCTCTATCGTACACCTGCAACTCCTATAACACTTATCGTTCACTATCTGGAATTTAAATAAAAAAAAACTTAAAAAAATAAAGCTATAGGCTAATTTTCTTCCTTTCTTCCTTTCTTCTCATCGGTCGCTAAGAGATGAGAATTGCTCTTTTGTCTTGTCAGAAGAAACCGGCCTCTGAGTAGCCTTCTGCGTTAGGGCCCCCTCCTTCCCGGCATACTCTCCCCTCGGTTTTCCATGACACCCCTCTCTCCCGGTTCCCCCTCCCTGATCTTGTTGGTGCCGCTGCTCCGTCTCCTTTGCTGAATCTCCTTCCTCTTCTTGAGCCCTCCCTGATCGTATTAAAAAGAAAAAAAAAAATCTTTACAACTGTGATTTATGAAGAGCTTATTGTGGGCCGGGCGGCCTGTACCAAAGTCCTTTAACCCCCGAAAATAGGCATTACCATGAGCACACATCTCAGATGAGGAAACATGCGGGGAAGTTAAGAAGCTTGCCTAGGGGTCGGGCAGCTAGTTGGCAGCGTCAGAAGGGCTCAGAAGGGGCTGAGGAGCGTGGGCTTCAAGGCTGGCTTGGGATCACGACGACCCCGCGGGGCCGTGATCATCAGAGTAAACTGAGGTTTGTCTATTCCGGATAAGGTGACCTGCCGTTCCCAGGGGTGCCCCGTGTATGACTGGCATAGGGCTGGCTGGTCCGTCACAGGCTCTCAAGAAGCGCTAGCTAGGGTGCCTGGGTGGCTCAGTTGGTTAAACGACTGCCTTCGGCTCAGGTCATGATCCTGGAGTCCCGGGATCGAGCCCCACTTCGGGCTCCCTGCTCGGCGGGGAGTCCGCTTCTCCCTCTGACCCTCTTCCCTCTCGTGCTCTCTGTCTCTCATTCTCTCTCTCTCAAATAAATAAAATCTTTAAAAAAAAAAAAAAAAAAAGAAGCGCTAGCTATTGCTCTCCTAGAACACATTACTCTGCCACAGAAGGGAAGGCAGGGGCACATGAGAGGCTGTCCAGGCCGCGCAGACGGGCCTTATTTAGTGTCAGTCTGACAATGCGACGGTCTGGCTGCAGCAGCGACAGCCGCGGAGTGGATTCAGAAATGCCTGAGAGTTCAGTGGTGATGGTGACGGTGACGATGATATGGGGCAAGAAAAGAACACTTGTTAAATGCTGAGGTGGATCTCTCCTTGTTTTATGTGTCCCCAGGGCATGTCTTCTTCCCCCACACGTCCTTTGGTCCTTTCGGAGAGCCCAAGACCGGCCAAGTCCTCCTCCACCCAAGCCACGCCCCTGAGCAACAGATGGGGGCAAGGGGTGCTCATGTCTGAGGGACACCGAGCCTCCCCCGTGTGGGGCGGGGAAGGGGACAGGACTGCGGTCCGAGGAGTCCTTTATGACCCAGGTAACCTTGAAATCCTGTCACTACTACCAGGGGTCTCACCCTGCAGCATAAAAGGGAGCAGAAGGAGCAGGGCTGGGTCTCCTGCCTCATGCTGACAGGATGCATGGCTCTCCGGCTACAGCTTCTCATCTCAGACCAGAACCTACAGCTCATTGCGGTCTCTCATGACCACTCCTTCAGATATGTGCCGCGTTCACCAGCCCATTTTACAGACCAGGACATCGAGGCACACCCACTTGCAGTAATTTGCCTAAGATCAGACAGCGAATGAGGGGTGGAGCTGGCCCTGAACTTCAGATCCGCCCCACCCCAGGGCCAGAGGTGGTGCCTAAGCTGTAGGAGGCGTTCCTAAGGTAATGGGTACAAACGGTCTGATCATTCTATTGGCTGCATCCTGAGTTCGGATTTCTGAACCGTCATACTCACGATTTAAAGTCTGCCCAGCAGGATGGCCTCCGTCTCATTTCTTTTATTGAACAAGACAGGAAAAACGATCAGTTTCGGAAACTTCCTTCTCAGAGCTTAAAGCTGTCTTCTCCTCATATTTATTTTTATATTCAATTTCTGGGATAGGATACTAAAAATAACAAACTGTTGGTAAGGATGTGGGCAAAGAGTCTGTCTCCCACACCGCTGGTAGGACTGAGAATTGACACCTTCTTTCTGGAAGGCCAAGCGGGAAATGTATCAAAGGTTGAAATATGAAAACCCCTGAATCCAGCAGCTTAACTTCCTGAAATTCATGCTAAGAAAATAACTGAACAAGTGTAAAAAAGTTGTATGAACAAAGATGTTTATCCTAGCTTTCTCGGGTCATAGTGGGAAGCTGCAAACAACTTGAAAGACCACTAGTGAGGTTTGGCTGAATAAAGTAGGCTCCGTGCTTCGAATGGAACGCGATGCATCCAGAACTCTGGGTGTGCCTTCACATGACTGG